AAATTTGATTTTCAAAAATGCTCCTTCAATTAAAAGAGAAAGGAAGGAACAACGACAAAAATGTATATAAAATTGTTTGAATCGCTAGATTCAAACAATATACATTTAAACGTAATATATTTTTTATATACATTTAAACGTAAATGTTGTGTATATACTTTTAAACATAATTTTTTAAACGTAAACGTATATAAATTTAAACGTAAATTTTTATATACTTTTAAACGTTAATTCTTGTCCATGTTCATATAACATTTCACCTTTCTTGGCAGATATTCCTATCATCATTATGTCGGATATTTAATAACAAATGTTTTAAAAGCATAAACAACAACAACAAAAAAGAATATAATTAAATTGTCTAGACTATGTAAACAAACACATGTTATAATAATAATTACAAATTTCCGAGTTCCGACTCTTTGTTCTCATTTGTAGTTCACATCAACATAAACCAATTTAGTTCCATGAAGTTCTAAGTACTAAACGTGTCGCGCGAAATATTTTCCACTTTGTCATAGATATTCCTAACACAAATACACACACACACACACACGCACATATTATTATTATTATTATTATTATTATTATTATTATTATTATTATTATACGCTTTACAAATTTGTGGCTGCAAGTAATATGTCCGAAGAGGATATAAATCCAGGGAGTGTTCAATGTAGACTACAGACCATTATATGATAATGAGAAAACGGAGACATTAATTAATGACCATTTTCCAAGGAGTTTTCGTTCTGATGAGCTAAATATATGGGTCTTCACGAAATTAAAATTATAAAGGAAATGGATAATTAAAGTCTCCGTCTTCTTATTATCATATATATATATATATATATATATATAAAGAAATAATCATACATAGAATCAATCAGCAATATTAATGCGATTAATGGCGAAATCACTTCGCTAGTAGAAACATAATGTATGCATTAAAATACTGTTAATCCATTGAATGATGTGATCCTCATTTATAAAATTGTTGTCAGGTGTTTCTAGTGTATATTTTTTTAAGTTAAGCAAGTACTTTCGAAGATTCATTTCTTCATCGTCAGGCTGTAATTTTTTTCATTTAAAAAATTTTTTTCATTTTTCTGACAGCTGGAAGGGACTGATGGTTCGCTTAAATTCTTAAAGACAGGAACTTCAGAAGAGGATTTCCAAGAATAAAAACGTTCTGATTCATCAGTAGAAGTTAACACCTTAAATTGAATGAAGAGAGAAGACATACTCTTATTTAAGATACTATTACAAAGCTATAGAAAACGATCTGTCCTGCTATTTACCCATAACTGATGGGGAGAAGAAGAGGATTGATACCTTCCCCAAGGGTATTAGCACGGAAGTGACTATAATGTATTCGACTGGAATTCGAACTCAGCTCTCCGATTCAGTTATGTGCCATGCGTGATACACGCTTAGGTAATCATGTACTTTTCGATACATAACTGAAGAGGGAGATTTTTTCCCGCAGTAGGTTGCCATTTATTTCTGTGGTAGACCAGTTGCCATCCAAGGCTATAGAAACCGTTCTTTCCTGCTATATACCCATAGCTGGGCAGGTGGAGAAGAGGATTCATACCTTTCCCAAGGGTATTAGCACATAAGTGAATGTAATGGATTCGACTGGAATTCGAACTCGGCTCTCCGATTATCTCAATCCGAGCCGCTATCCATTACTCCACCGTAGACACAATATATCATGACTAGCTTCTTCCGATTTAAGTTTGGGACGAAGTAAGCTCGTGTTTGGTATAAGACACGATACTGAATTTTCATTTCAAAAGGCTTTTAAAAGAATATTTTGAAGCATAGATCACCGCATTCATTAGTAATCAGCTTCCTATACATAATACCGCATTCATTAGTAATCAGCTTCCTATACATAATACCATGAATGTTCGGGTAGCGTCACGGTTATCAGAAATGAAATCCATCAAATTCCAAGCCTGGTTTGTTGCTTTCACTTTCTCCGAAAGCGAAATGCATTTCTTTTCTCCCATTGACCCATAAATTAAATAACTGGCTCGCCTAGGTTCTCTTCTTGAATGTCACCCTGTCTAGAATAACTACTCTGAATTAAAATGAGATCGGATACCCCTCCATTACTTTTCTAAAAAAATGTTATCTGTTTACTGATTATCAAGAAAAATAGGGTAACAAGATCCGTGATCGCCTATGTGAATTGCCAACATAAAAGCTGGGCAGAGTATTGCGAGACAGGAGGATTTCCTTAGCAACAAAGAAAAAGGTACTGAGCTGCTACGTGACATCTTTCCTCCTTTACGGTAGCGAATGTTGGATGGTCTCCTCAAAAATGAAGACGATACTCGAGGCAACGGAGATATGGTTCTACAGAAGGGTGCTGAGGATATCATGAACCGAACGTGTGAGCAGCATGGAGAGGACGGTAGCGTTGTAAACTCTTAGCGTCATGCGTCGGGAGACATCGTAACGCTGCCATAGTTGTCTCCAATTGTGTCACATGACACTTGCAGACAGCTCACGTCTTCTGTCAATCTACGTGAAGATGTTGGCGTTGTTGGAAACTTCTGAGACCGATTATACGAAAGACGTGGCGAACTCAACTGGGGGTCGCTGCCAAGGAAGATGGCTGTGTATTTAGGGCCTTTTCCCGTCTGCAAACTGGCGCCGACCTCGCGTCAGATCTCGAAGCCGATGGAAGGTTTATCTGTCGCTGGAGGATGTTTCAACGCCTTGCCAAGACAGTGAGAACTAGAAGAATAAGGCGGCTCTCGTAAGCTCAACGCCTTCATGGGATGATATTTTGCTGTAGCAGCAGCAGCTCAAACAGTAATTACCATTGGCTGAGCATAACAACGCCCGAAGACATGTTGCCATAGACACTCCGTATACAATCATAGAATGTCGATTTATTCATGATGAGAGATATTCTCTAAACTCATCGCCTGGACGAATATTGGGTGAAAAGGGACCGATACCCAAATGATAATGTGCGACAATTTGAATTAGAAACATATAAAATACATGTGTGTGTATGAGAGAGAGAGGGGGGAGGGAGAGGGAGAGAGCGAGAGGGGGAGGAGAGAGAGAGGGGGGAGAACATAACTCAATGTGGGGGGGGAACTGTTTTGCAACATTCAGTACCTCCAAAACCAAGCTAAAAACGCTTCATCATCAATGATCAGACCCCAGGTTTTCTCCTGTCACGATGGACGTTTCTACTCTGAATGAGGCTCCTTGCCTTTGTCACGGAACAAAATGCCAGTATCTCTCTTTGATTGAAATGAAGTCACGTGGGTCACGTGACGGCCGATTAGTGATGCCACTTCAACATCAAAAATTGAAATACAATGTCAATCGTTATATTCTGTTTTCTTAATTCTTACCCTCTCTCCATGATAGTAGTTCTTTCTCATAACCTCTAACGCTCAGTAACCCCCTTGCGTCTTAGTGGCTTTATTGTCTTGCTTCGTGTGAAATAATTAAAATTAGAAGACAGTACAAATGAAAAGATCCCAAACAAAAGAGTGTGAAATGATACAAAAAAAGACAGTTTTTCATTTCACAGAGGCAGACATCAAACACATTATCTATCTTCCCTTTCTTTCTTTCTTACTTTCTTTCTTTCTTTCTTTCTTTCTAGCTTTTCTTTGTTTGTTTGATTGTTTGTTTGTTTCTTTCTTTCTTTCTTTCTTTCCTCTGGTTTTCTTTCTTTCTTTCTCCTCGTTTTTCTTTCCTCTAATTCTCTTTCTTTCTTTCTTTCTTTCTTTCTTTGTTACGTTTAGATATTCTCTAAACTCATCGCCTGGACGAATATTGGGTAAAAAGGGACCGATACCCAAATGATAATGTGCGACAATTTGAATTAGAAACATATAAAATACATGTGTGTGTATGAGAGAGAGAGGGGAGGAGAGGGAAAGAGAGAGGGGAGAACATAACTCAATGTGTGTGGGGGGAGGAACTGTTTTGCAACATTCAGTACCTCCAAAACCAAGCTAAAAACGCTTCATCATCAATGATCAGTTTGTTTTTTTTTCTTTCCTCTGGTTTTCTTTCTTTCTTTCTCCTCGTTTTTCGTTCCTCTAATTCTCTTTCTTTCTTTCTTTCTTTCTTTCTTTGTTACGTTCAGATATTTCTAAACTCATCGCCTGGACGAATATTGGGTTACCCAAATGATTGTTTAAAAAAACATATAAAATACATGTGTGTGTGTATGAGAGAGAGAGGGGGGGGGAGAGGAGAGAGAGAGAGGGGGAGAACATAACTCAATGGGGGGAAACTGTTTTGCAACATTTTCTAAAAACGCTTCATCATCAATGATCAGTTTGTTTCTTTCTTTCTTTTCCTCTGGTTTTCTTTCTTTCTTTTCCTCGTTTTTCTTTCGAATTCTCTTTCTTTCTTTCTTTCTTTCTTTCTTTCTTTCATTCTTTGTTACGTTTGAGATAACCATTCTTGCGTCTCTCCTCGCAATCAAACAGGAATTGGTTACCTCGGTTGTAACGTAACTAAATAACAAATTAAGGAACAGGCAGAATTGAAATATAATGCACTCGAGAAAGACACGAGTCCACTTTTTCTCCCTCAGCAATTACTTAAATAGTAGGGTACATTGGAGTCTGTAGACTTGGGTGGCCACTCAGTTAAGAAAAATAAAACATTGAGTTTCAATCACAAAGAAAGCAAAAAGAAATCAATCCATTATATTTCCATAGAATTCTATAATCTTACCAAAGAATCTGTCAGTGATGTTCATCCTGTACTAAGTAAAAGAGTCACTCAAGGTAGAAGCTTACAGTGTAAGAGACAGAGTTTATATGGGCAAGGCAGAAGATAACGGTTGGATCTAGACTTGAACAGGTTATGATTGTAGTGACTGGGTAAACATCATTTTTGAAGTCGGTTCCTGAAAGCGTCAGTTCGCAGGAAGAAGCTGTTCAAGTGGAACTTACATCTCACTAGTGCAATACGTAGGTAATGAAGGTGGTTTGCAACTATGTGCGTAACATGGAGGGTCATAGCCGTGAAGGTTAGAACTTGTGAAACTAAGGAATTTATTTCGTCCGAACAGTTTCCGTAGAAATAGCGATAAAGCAGCGACGTGCTTGCAACGTTTTGTTTCGTCTGTTAGAAAGGAATAGCAAGTTGGAGAATAATTCATCACCCACAAGGACGCGGATACGCTTTTGAACACTATCAGGAGTAGAAAATGAAGATTGGGCTGCTCATGTTCATATATGGCTGTAGTACTCCAATTTTGACTTGATTTGACTTTTGTAAATTTAAAGGATAGCCTAGGGTGTCACATACTTACTGGAGTGTTACAGGGAATCGACCATTTATCCAGGAGCTTTAGGGACGGACTGTATGGACGAGTTCTACTTGAACTCTGAGTGGAGTTTTAATTCACAAATAATTAAGGAAAAGAAAATGTGGGAAATTTTGATCTCCTGGATTATAACATTTTGCCCCCAAAACTTGCATTCCTTACTATTAAATTTAACGTATTCTTATATTTAAAAAGTGTTTTTCATCCAATATCAGAAATGCGAAATTACTTTCCGTACAGGCTAATATATTCTACCAATATATGGGTGAAATCAATCTAAGAACACATTTTTCCGTTGTATGCCCAGAGATCGTTCATCAGTTTAATACTGATTATGTCTGAAATAATGTTGCTACTGTATTGATTTCTACGACCGATGACGTTGATGTTCGTTATTAGACTTGTTATTATCATTGGTGGCGTAGCTGTTACTGCCAGCGTCCTTCACGTGTAATCAGTAAGCGCGCTTAAATGTCTCCAATGAAGCAGACGACACTGTCAGATAGGCAGTCCTGACATGACGCCTAGGGGATTAAGGTACAATAAAGAAAAGTAAATCCTATTTCATAGCGATGGTTTGGAATTGCCAAAGAAGAAGAAAAGGAAATAATAATAATAATAATAATAATAATAATAATAATAATAATAGAAAGAGTTTCAGAGAAGGAAGCGAAAAAAAGAAAGAGGAAATCAAAGATGGTAGTTTGAGGTAAAATTGAAGTATAATTAAAGGTGGGGAAATATTTTCATTGAAGAAGAAAAAATAAATGATAGAAGATAGATTTAGAATAAGTTTTAAAAAAATGAATGAAAACGCAATAAAAGAGATGTGGGGTAAAAGGTAAGATGAAAATAAACTTAAAAAAACCAAGATTATAAATAAAATAATTAAAGAAGACTAATAAAATTATGAAAAAATTCAATCGAGAGTAAAGACGAAGCGAAAACCAAAATGGAGGTTGCCCCAAATAAATAAATAAATAAATAAATAAAGAAAGAAAGAAAGAAAGAAAGAAAGGGGGGAAAAGAGAAAAGAAAGCAAGAAATATATTTTGAGAAAGAAAGGCATTTATGAAAGAAATACATTTTAAGAAAGAAAGAAATAGAAAAAATGAAGGAATAAAGTAAGAAAGAAATATATTGTAAGAAAGACATTTATGAAAAAGGACATTGTATGAAAGAAAGAAAAAGAAAGAATGATGAAGAAAAGGAAGAAAGATATATTGTAACAAACAAAAACAATTTAAGAAAGATAGAAAGAAAGAAAGAAAGAGGAATAAATCTATTGTAAGAAAGAAATACATTTATGAAAGAAAGATATTTTCAGAAAGAAAGAGTGAAAAAAGAAAGAGTCAAAAAAGAAAGAAATATTTTGTATTAAAGAGAAGTATTTAAGAAAGAAAAACTGTAAAATGAAAGAAAGAAAAGTGAAAGAAAGAAATGTATTGTGAGAAAGAAAGACATTTATGAAAGAAAGATATTTTCAGAAAGAGAAAAGAAAGTAAAATTATGAGAAAAATACAATGTCAGAAGAAAGATTAAAAAAGAAAGAAAGGAAAGAAATAAATAAAGAATATATTGTTAGAAAGTCACTAAAAGAAAGAATGACATTGTAAGAAAGTAAAAGAAAACGAAAAAGAAAGCAACTAATAAAGACAGCGAAAGAAAGAAAGAAATTTTAAGAAAAACTACATTTATGAAATAAAAGAAGGAAAGGCTTTGTAAAAAAAAAATAAATTGAAAGAAAAAGAAAGAAACACGACAAGAAGAAAATCCAGAAATAAAGGAAAAAATAATTGTAAGAAAGAAAACATTTACTATAAAATAAGTAAAAGAAAAAAAAAGAAGATGAAGAAGAAGAAGCGGAGGAGAAGGAAGAAGTGGAGGAGGAGGAGGAGGAGAAGAAGAAGAACCCAAATATAATCGATAGTGAATGGATGTGTGAAAAAAAAAAGAATGGAATGAAAGAAATAAATTTAAAAATAAACACGAGGAAAAGTAATAATGAAGGAATCAAAAAATAATTAGAATTAAAGAAACGAAGAACGAAAATGTTCCAGAAAAAGCAAAAATATAGAAGAAATATTGAAGAAAGAAGAATCGAAAGAAAGACTATAAAATTATAAATACAAGCAATATCTGGAAAGAAAGAAACCAGAAAAGAAAGAAAAAAATTAAAATTAAATAAAAAAAAGAATGAAAATTTCCAAAAAGAAAGAAAAAATATAACAGAAACATAAAATTTGAACAAAAAAGAATGAATTGAAAAAGAATTATAAAATTATAAGGACTGGTAATATTAGAAAGAAAGAAAGAAAGAAAGAAAGAAAGAAAGAAAGAAAGAAAGAAAGAAAGAAACAAACAAACAAACAAACAAACAAACAAACAAACAAAAGACAGAAAGAGAAAAAGAAAGAAAAGAAAGAAAGAAAGAGAGAAAGAATGAAAGGGAGGAGGAAAGACAGAATGAAGGAAAGAAAGGATGAAAGAAAGAAAAAGAAAAAGGGCAAGAAAGACAAAATGAAGGAAAGAAAGAATGAAAGAAACAAAGAAAGAAAAAAAGAAGATTGAAAGAAGTGATGAATGAAATAAGGAAGAAAAGCAACAAAAAGAGAAAGAAAGACAGAATGAAAGAAAGAATGAAATAAAGAAAGAATGACTGAAAGAAAGAAATGAAAAAATGAAGGGATTACAAGCGAAGTAAATATATCTGCAAGAATGAGTAGCAGAGTTAGATTTTCGAATGAAGAAAAGAAAGATACAAAAAATAACTGAAAGCAAGAGATTAGGAGGAATAAAAACGGTATAAATGAAGGAAATTGAAGGAAATTGAATGAAATAAGGAAGAACAAAGTAAATATCAAATAAGGCATAAAGAGAAAAAAAATAATGAAATAGGGAGAAGAAACAACTCATTCCAAAAATGAAAGAAAGAAGTTAAGTAAAATCGTAAATGAAAATAAAAAAAGAAAACAAAAAAATGAAGAAAAATTAATCAATCATTCAATAGACAAAAAGAAGAAAAAAAAACGGAAAAAAATATTTTGCATAAAGAAGATGGAAATTGAAAAATAAATAAAATAAGAAATGTCGTTGCAATCAGAAAATGATGGACAATATTGACACGAACGCAAATGGAATGAAAGAATTGAAAACAAAACAAAAACAAAAAAAAAAAAAATGGAGGCCTTACACCGAAAAACCGAACAACGGCAAATATGAAGAAAAGACAATAAAAATAAAAATCATGACGATGCTCAAGTCGTGGGAAAAATATAAACAACTCTAAGAAAAAAAATAAAAATAAAAACAAAATAAAAAGCAAAAGAGGAAGAAAAAGAAGGAATGATACTAAGGAAATAATAAATAAATAAAAAACAATTAAAAACTGCAAAAAGAATTAAAACTCAAGAAAACTTTGAATCTGAGACGAAAAAAAAAGGCAGAAAAAAATTTAGAATCAAATAAAATCATATGAAAAAAAAAGGGTTGAAAGGAAACAGATGGAAAATGGAAAACTAAGAAAGGAAAGATGAAAATATATAACAATTAGTAAAGAAAGATGGAAAACAACCCGCCCACCTATCGCCTCTAAAACAGAAATAAAAATTAGAAAAAATAAAAAGAAAGGGTTCTATTGCGAGAGGAAGAGAACAATAGAGAATAACAGGAGTGAAGGTAAGAGGAAAAGGAAGGAAAAGAAAAGAGTGACACAGAGAGGGGGGATATGATAAGAGAGAAGAAAAGAGACAGTGTCAAAAGCAAAATGAACAAAAGAAGGCGGATAGAAGGGAAATAAGAAAAGAAAGGAAAGAAGGAAAGAAAGAAGGAAAGAAAAAAGTCCAAAAGAAAAAATTGAGAATAACGATGATAAAGTAAAGATCGTTTGCTAAGATGAAAAACGAAAAAAAAAAAAAAAAAAACATGAGAAAAAGAAGGGGGGGATGATGATGATGATGATGATGATGATGATGATGATGATGATGATGATGATAGAAGCTACGAAGATAGAAGCGAACAAAAAGGGAAAGGACGCAAATAAACTTGATGAGAGAAGAAGAAGAAGAAGAAGAAGAAGAAGAAGAAGAAGAAGAAGAAGAAGAAGAAGAAGAGGAAGAAGACCTCTAATAAGTGAAGAGGATAGAAACTGAAAGAAAGAAAGAAAGAAAGAAAGAAAGA